ACATGAATGACCCCTTGATGAAAACTAACACCCAGTTTTTGAACATATCCGCAACGCAGTTAATAGGGAGTTTTAGAAGATGGGCGCCCAGCGCTTTGGGTTCTTCGAGCTGCTTGGGGCATCGCGCTGCGCTGCGCAGAAATCCGGCGCATGCGCAATGAGACGTCCTAAGCAGCGGGGCCCCGAGCTAGGTATTGAGGCCCCTTAGTTAGAAGTTTGCCTTCACTGGGCGATGCCTGATCACGTGTTCACACGTGTTTTTGGTTTGTTTGTTTATGCACGGTATTTAATGAACCATTTAACAATTATCTCGAATTTGCACACACCAGCACACAAGCGTTTTGCTCTAGAAACTGAATACTTCCGCCACACGTGCTGACCCATTGAATCCACTCTCTCTGCAGCTTTAAACTGGCACACGTGGCCTTCAGCGTTTTCAAAGTTGAGATAAAAAAAAGAGCGAAGGACAGTTCCGTGCGTCACTCAGTGCACGTAATTATTGACTATATAAAGCCAAGCGAATAACTGGCTTTTTTTTTTTTTTTTGTACGAATTTTAGATATTGAGATAATACTAGATTGCGTCTCTTCGAGACACGTGGTTATGCACCATCCGTGATTTCGCTACCACATGGTGCCAGATATCGTTGACCAACGGCGAATTTTGCACAAGGCCATTCCTTATGTCGTTTGTGACGCTCTATACCTACACACGTGCCCGGAACGGACGGACGACACACGTATATCCAACCAAGGTTAATGATAATATAAAAAAAGGCATATGTTTTTCTTTGGCGGACGAACTTGTTGCACCCGAGTAAAAAGAAAAAAAAAACACAAAAAGCTAGGCGTGTTTATGAGGTGTAACTTATAGTACGGTCAAGCGCTGAGCTGGCGGTATGGCATTCGGTGGTTCAAGGTTCCTAGAAAAACGCCGGGAAAATACCCGGATGTGTACGGTTTCGGCAATGATCGTCGCGGACGGCCTCCGGGAAGCTTGCTCACAACGGCAACTGACGTTCGATCAATTAGTGCGGAATCAGCCTGGGCTCTAAATGAGAAGAGCGTCGCTTTGTACAGCGAACTATTCGCGTGAGAAGCTCGGGCGGCGGAGAAAAGCTCACCGCAAAACCGGCAGTTGCGGAGAAAATCTCACCGGCCCTTGAGCTTATGCAAAGAAAAGCTCACCGACTTTTTTTTTTCTTCCTAGCTTAGCGGATTGTGCGTCACACGAGGCAATGTAACACAATTAGAATTTGCTACTTCGTTAAAAACAATTGTCCTTTATTTTGTAATATTCATTAAGTTTATTGGGCATAACTACTAATTGCTCAGAAATTAGTAATCACTCATTCTGCCTATTAATGACGCCGCAAGTATAAAATGAGAACATGGGATACCCGTAAAAAAGAAAATAATTTATGGACAGTTGACAAAAACCCTGAGAGAAGGGACACACAAACACAGTCTCAAACACAGCTGAAATTTATTCGTGGTGGTGGTGGTGCGCCGTTTAGGTTTTACGTCACGTAGGTTAGCCTAACCCCAATTAGCTGGCATGGACAGGTGACGAGCTCTTAAAGAGCTGTTAAAAAAAAATCTTTCTTTTGTTATGTTTTAGATACAACTACAGTCGGTCGATCAAGCCAATGTCCCGCAGGAAGCGCAGCACTGCCTAGAACACTTTCTGGCACTTCCTTCGAGGTCCATCTGGGAAGAGGATATCGGCTGTTGCTCCCGGATTATCCATGCCGATTTGTTCATACAGCACAGTTCGTTGAGCTTCGTATGCCGGGCAGACGCGGAGAATGTGGTGCACAGTCCCTTCCTCGTCGCATTGCGAGCATTCTGACATCCGCCGTTTTCCCATCTTGACCAGAAAAGCCTTCGTGTGGGCCGTGTTTGTGCGCAGGCGTCGCACCAGGGTCTCTGCCGCCCGTGACAATCCAGACAGGGCTCCTTTTGGCAGCGCCGGCTCGTTACTTGCATTTAGAAGTTACCAGCGGACGTCAAGTGCAGCCTGTTGCGGATTTGCTGGTGACGGGACAGCCGGGATTTCCAAGTGAGCAGCTGCGGCCAGCCTATCTGCCTGTTCATTCCCTTCGATCCCCGCATGCCCTGGAATCCACTGGAGCCACGCTGTGGATCCGCGTGCTTCCAACGATGCTAGTGACTTTCTTACGGCGGTCGTTGCTGGGTCCCCGCACTCTGCTTTTGCAATGTTCTGAAGGGCGCATCTTGAGTTGGTGAGCACCACCATTCCCTGTGGTGGCAACAGGATGGCCGCTTGGAGGGCTTTATCGATGGCAACCAGTTCGGCCACCGTGGAGGATGTGGGTGCTTGAAGTCTCCCGCCCTACTCCCAGCCTTTCTCTGGTATGCAGTAGGCCGCAGTGCTGGAGGTTCTTGCTTTGTTTACGGACCCGACCGTGTATATTCGAAGCTTTCCCCTATGGTGTTCTTACAAGTGTGCTTCAACTGCTGCTCTGATAGCGATGCCTGGCCTATCTTTCTTGGAACGCAGGTGCTTGATTCTTACGTCACTGGACACCTTGATTACGTCCCATGGAGCCATCCTTGCTTTGTCCGTCCTCGTCGGTAGTGGGTCCGTGACATTGTGGAACTCTTCTACCGCCTCGCTCCATAGCGATTTCATCCGAACCTGGACAATCGTCTAACCCCTTCCAGTCGTCATACGAGCTTTGGGAGAGAGCACTGACCAGCTCCAACCTCGATGACCAGCTCATGCTCGTGTCGAGGGCTGTGGAAGCAGGGAAGGCTCAAGGCGTCTTGGACTAAGGACTCCTCCCCATCGCTTTCTCATAATAAAGATGTTTATTCTCTCTCTCTCTCTCTCGATGTAGGAACCATCTGCCCGGGTGGGTCATAGATAATCGCGCCAGCTGGTGAAGTCTCCTTCCTTTGGCCTGTCTTGCGAGCGACTCTGTCCCCGCCTCCAGAAGGACCGCGTCGTAGAGCACTGCACGGGCCCGGGCCAGCCCGAAAACCCGAGCCCGGCCCGGCCCGCGGGCCGGGCTCGGGCCGGGTAGCACGCATTTTCTCGGGCCCGGGCCGGGCTCGGGCTTGAACAAAATATTTTCCGGGCCGTGTCGGCCCGGGCCGGCCCGGGCCGTGACTGAGCAATGGTGTGTCACAAATTTTAAATTGTTAATAACAAGGTGCTCATTTATCTTCTCGGTTCAATGTAAACAAACAAGCGAAATGCAAAATTACTAAACTGCTGTTAAAAAAAAAAAAAGACGTCTTGCACTTGGAAAGCTTTCACGTGGATAAAAGGAAACGTATAGATTCCTCCACCATAGTGGTAAAGTACGGTCAAGAAACCGAGGACACTCCAGTCGCAGGGTACAACATGAGTGTATTTTTCCTCTGCGTTTCAAACTGAACACAAGAAAAACAACGTGAGCTTGATTTTGCTTTCGTGCAGGGAGCCTTACTATGCCGCCAAAGATAAGCTAACTAGATATTTTTATGCTTATACAGCTTTTTGAATATGCACTAGCCTGATTCTGATTATTTCTTCACAAAAAGATGTAGAGAGGAAAGTTCTCTGAAACGAATCGAACAACGAGAAGCCCGATATCTCTTCAAGAAATGCATAAATAAAGAATACGGCACTTTTTTTCTTTAAATCACTTATACACTGCATAGTTCGCCAATATTCTCGAAAATGCACCAAGTCGGGATATTTATTGTGTCAAAAAATCTCGATCCAAGTCCAAAAGAAATTTAAATCAAATATGCTCGCTTTATGCTTAGACAGTCTTTAGGTTAAAGCCTGCAAACTTTTTTGGGCTCATGAATATAAACTGTCGGGCTCGGGCCGGACTCAGGCTTATATTTAAAACATTTTTGTCGGGCTCGGGCCGGGCTCGAACTTCTGTCTAAAAATTCTGCCGGGTCCGGGCCGGGCCCGGGCTATGTCTCTTCCGGGCCGGGTCGGGCCGGGCCTAGAAATTAAATATTCTGTCGGGCTCGGGCCGGGCCCGGGCCGTGCCTCTGCCGGGCCGGGTCGGGCCGGGCCTAGAAAATCTGGCCCGTGCAGGGCTCTACCGCGTCGTTCCTGGCAGCGTTGAAAATCCCCAGTGCTGTTCGTAGTCCATGCCGATGTCGCTGTTCCATCCTCTCCAGGTCCGTCCGAGATGGAGCCATGTATGGGAGTCTATACATTACCCTTGACGTTAAAAGCGCCGTGTGGGCAGCTGTGATGGTCCGCTCCGTGCATCCCCACGCGGTTCCAGTCATACGGCGAACAGCATTCATGGCAGGCCTGCATGTTTCCGATGTCGCTTTTACGGCTTGTGCCCACGTCACCCTGCTTGTGATGACGATTCCCAGGAACCTCTGCTTGGTGACCTTTGTGACGTTCTCCCCCGCTAACACGATGCCTGGCGGCTGAAACCTTCTTCCATTCACCCGTACCGGCATCCAGACTGTCTTGCTCTTTGACAGGGACAACCCCGATTCAGCCAAAAACTCGTCTACTGCTTGCGCGACGGCTTGTATGCTCCGGTGTATCTGTGTTGTGTATATTCCTGCCACCCAGAGTCACACATCGTCTGCATAGATAGACACATTACCGGGAGTGCGGTTGGTGGGATGGCGTTCGGTAGTGTAGCCATCACGATGTTAAAGAGCACCGGACTCAACACGCTTCCCTGTGGCAACCCTCTGTGCAGCACCCTTGGCGAGGACACTGTACCTTCGGACCTGATCTGAATTTTTCGCCCGGTTAAAAAATTTGCCAGGAACTTTTGAATTTTACCGGTCAGGCCGATCTCAGTCATTCTCTTAAGGACTGTAGGGAGCGGCACGCTGTCGTAAGCTCGTTCCACGTCCAAGAACACCGCAATCGTGTTCCTCCGCCTGTTCTTGTTGTCCTCAATATCACTTGTTAGGTCCAGGATACTGTCTTGGGCTGCCAGCCCTCTCCTAAAACCGGTCATGCAATTCGGGAGACAGTGATGTTCTTCCATGTACCAGCATATCCGAGCTTGCACCATCCTCTCACGAGGTTAGGGAAACTGGGCGGTATGACTCCGCCTTTCCTGGCGGTTTCCCTGCCTTGAGCAGGCACCACCATTGCTTCTTTCCACTCGTTTGGGACGTCCCCGGAGTTGCATATAGCGTTGAACCATTTGACCAGGGCATCTTGGGCCTCTTCGGTGAGGTTCGTGAGTGCCTGGTACGGGACTCCGTCGGGTCCGGCTGCGCTCTTCTTCCGACATCTGCGAAGGGCACTCTGAAGTTCTTGGACTGTAAACTGGGCATCCAGAGGTCCCGACGCGGTGTATGGTTCCCCAGGTCTTCCCGCCGCCTCTGCCGGGGCGTACAGGGCGCACAGAATCTCCGCTGCTGCTTCTGGTGTTTCGTTGGCCGCCAGCGTTAAGACCTGCAGGGTATGTCTTGAACGGCTTTTCCCAGTCATTGTCCCTAGGACGGTCCACAGCTTAGTGTGCGTTGGCATTCTTGCACATGAGTTTCCATCGATTCCTGACCAGCACCTTTGCGTGTCTTCGCAGCTTGGCCGAAACCCTGTTGAAATTGGTCTTGTCCTCGGGCTCTCTCGTCCGGCGGTACCTCCTCTGCGCCCTGGTTCGTGCCGCTTGAAAGTTTAAAAATGTGAGGTCCGGCTTTGGGAGCCATTCTGTGACGAAAGTAGTGCGTGCGGCCATCTGTAACGCTTGAATTATAGCTGCTGGAATTTCTTCTTAGCTCAAATCCAGCGCTGCTCAAAAAACGTCCCAGTTTGTGCACGTACGCAAGACTTTCCTTGCCCCCTGACACCCCTTGATGGTGATGTGGATGGGGAAGTGATCACTTCCCCGTGTGTCTGGGGCTATCTCCCGCTTCATCTCCAGGGATGGCGAGTGCGCTGTCACGTCAAGAACACTGTACGAGTTCGGAGGCCTGAAGAACGTCGGCCGTCAGTGTTGCCAGATGGTCCCACCAAAAACCGCCAAACGACTGGGAGGTATAGCCCAAATGTAGCCAAAGCCGTGAAAAAAATATAGCCCAAAATAGCCAAGACTAAAAACAATTTTTAAGCTTTATGTTAACAATATCTCACACTCATACCGTACACGTTACAATCTCTGTTTCAACCCTCAGATGCACCGTCTTTTGTGTACATTATGTTACTTGTGAATTTTTCAAGAAAAGCTTCGAAAGAATGAAAATCCGTACAAAACTGGATCTTTCTTCGTAGGTTTTCAGAAATACAAAACACAGACACCTTTATTGTGAAGTCCGGGAGATATGATCATACAGTGAAAGAACAAAATACAGAAGCTGAACAGTCAGAACGCTGGGTATTTCAAACCAGAACCCCAATATCTCGGGTCCTTACAAATATCCCACCCGTCTCTTTTTCTTTGTGAAGAATATTAGTGTCACTCATTCATGTTCACGCTATATTGGATTGTGTTGTCCTTTCTTGGGTTGGACAACGACTGGAAGGTAGTATATTGTTCCGCAGTAAAACTGCGGACTTCTCATTGTTACAAACTTGGGTGCCATATGCGTCCGGGTTGAAGGCACGCTACCTGTGGGTCTGTGGTAATAGCCAATCTGTTTGGTTTGCTCCACTGCACTGTAGGGAGGCCGCATGAACTCTGCAAGCATTGGTTCACTGCGCCTTGTGAAAACCCCGAAGTTTGTAGAAGTTTGAAGTCTTTCTCCTTCCTCTTCCTCCTCTCGGCTAACCAAAAGAAACAATTTTTTCTCCGAAACTGATTAAAAGTTCGAAAATTAACTAGCCGAACCTTAATGTTCGGCGTCGAACTTGAGGTCGACAAAAGTTCGCCGCATTCTTAGAAATAGCCCAAAATAGCCACATAGCCAACCACAAAAATTTGACGCCAACTAGAAAAAAATGAACAAAAGGTAAGGGCGCAAACGAGCTGGGCCCGTTTGCTCGAAGCTGGTTAACTAACCGCGGTTAACCGGATTTCCCTACGAGGGGGAATTTTGGGTCACGTGACCGGCAGAGTAAGGACAGCGGGGAAACATGGCGGTGCCCGGTAAGTGGGCGCCGCTCGCTTTGGAACTAATACGCCGTAGTAGCTGCAGTAGCGGGCGCGTTAGTCAGCAATGAATGGTGCAGGAGGTTTTCGCGTCGCCTTACCTCACTTAAAACGCAAAACGAGCAATGACCTCGCCGTATTTTTTTAGATAGACTTTCGACTCTGGCCATTCCTAAGCCTAAATGAACGCGATAGTTGTCGGCATGGCAACGTCTTTGGAAAGTGGATTGCCTTGACTCAATCGGCCGGGTATTGATAGCACACAAAAGACGAGAGCGTTCCCTACGAGGGTAGTTACACGCGCTGCACGTGCTGGCGTCTGCAGTAATAACTGTTCTGAAGCAAAAAGCCTAAAACAAATTTTGCCGTGCACGCGCGTTCGTCAAAGATTTATTATGATTATTTACTTCAAATCTTTTATAAGTGCAAGGCCAGCGCGCGCGGATCGAGAATTACACTTCCAGCGTTCTTCTCGATGTTCGGGTAATTTACTAATAGGTCAATTTTCAGTGGAGCCGAATTACAGGTTTTTCAATTTATGACGGTGTTATATACAGTTCTTACATGCTGGCCAACATGCTGCCGGTGTACCGCGCACCCTTTCACTGTTCACTTCTTTCTGATCGTTTCTAGGACTCAACTTCGTCGTCCTCTTTCGAACTCGGAAGGAAATTTCAACGAGGCTTTTCTTCACTTCATACAGCCAAATATTTAGAAAATTTCCAAACAAGAGTTAATTTAGTTTTACCTTGCCGATTATTTGTACCACGAGCAATAAAAATTGTTTCTTAAGCTTTCCACTGGGCACGGCAACTTCGGAACCGACAAGTCATCTAACATGCCGCTCCTGTTTGTAATCCAACAGATGCTGCTAATATGCACCGCGTGTCCGCCTCACGGCCCGTCGTCGGCTACTCTCGCCTTGGGATCCGGATTCGTCCAGCAAGAAACCTTCGTCCCGCCCGTCAACCACAGCATCGCAGGCCTGCTGCACAATCATCGCGCAGCAACCATGGAACAGTGCCGGAGCAGTACAAGAGCGGATCCCGCGGCGGCAATCGTCACTGGGCACGGCAACTTCGGAACCGACAAGTCATCTAACATGCCGCTCCTGTTTGTAATCCAACAGGTTAGTGATGGAAATTGCGTTAACTTTAGAAGTGACAACCGATTTATTATTGTTCTGCCGTGCCCACAAGTGTTCTTTGATTGTGCCATGAATTGTCGGGATAATCTGCTGTTACTTCTTTCTGGTGACGTCGAACGAAACCCGGGCCCAGAGACGAGACTAGAAACGATGATTTCCCAAGTGCTCGAAAACCAAAAACAGCTGAAAAGTGAACTTAAGGAAGTAAAGGAAAACCAGATAGCGTCCCAGCAAAGACAAAGCGCAATGGCCGATAAAATCACCCACCTTGAGACAGCCCTTGACGTCCTCCAGAAGAGTAATCAGCAGATATTGCAGCTACAAGGAACGCTTCAGGGTCTAGAAGAATTGGTCTACTTACAACGCGAAAAGATAGCAGATCTTGAGGATAGAGGTAGGAGAAATAACCTAATAGTATTTGGCATTCCTGAAACGCCAAATGAAACGGTTGAGAACCTGAAACAAAGTGTGATAAATACCGTCTTCCAACAACAACTAGGCGTAACTGTGAAGACAGTGGAACGAATACACAGGCTTGGAAAAAGGACAGATGGAAAAATTCGACCGGTCATCCTAAAACTGTATGATTACAATGAAAAAGTGCTTGTGTTTAGGAATTGCAAAAAGCTAAAGGGATCAAAGATATCGGTATCGAATGATTATTCCCAAGTCACCCTAGACAGGCGTAAACACCTTTGGGATAGCGCAAGATCGGAGAGGGCCAGTGGAACTCACGTACGACTTATTCATGATAAGATTCAGATAAATGACCAAATGTTCGTCTGGAACGATGCCGATGATTGTCGTGAAAAAGTTGGCAGCCATCGAGGTTCGCAAAAGCAAGCTAGATAACTCCCTGATAACAAAGAAAAATGCCTACGTCTGATTAACGTGAATGCAAGAAGCCTTCTTAACAAAGTGGAAAGTCTGGAGCACTTGTTACTGCTGTACAACCCGCATATTGCTGTAGTTACCGAAACCTGGTTACATGACCACATAAATGATTGCGAGATTGTGCCACCATCATACAAAATACTCAGAAAAGACAGAGGCTCCCGTGGTGGGGGAGTCGCTTTAATTTACAAGAACTACCTTTCGTGTATTTTGATACCTGAGTGTTCATTTACTGAGAGTTTGTGGTGCCGAGTAAAGTTCGGCGGGCATTCCATTGTAATTGGCGGGGTTTATAGATCACCTGATTCATCGCCGCAGTTTTTAGAGAATATCTATGATTATTTACAAGAAAATGTCACCTGTAGATCTAAAATAATAATTGCTGGTGATTTTAATCTTCCTAGCGTTAAATGGGACCAACTAGATCCTGGTGTGACAGATGTTAAAAGCGGTGAATTATTGCTTGACATTGCTTTTTCTAACAATCTATCACAGGTGGTTCAAGAGTTTACTAGAATTACTGATTCTTCCCGTTCTATACTAGATTTAATTTTTGTGTCAGAATCTTTGAAAAATTATGAGGTGGTTGTTGAAGATGGATTGTCGGATCATAAATTGGTGTTGCTGTCCATCAAATTGACCGCTCAATCACTAAATGCAAACTGCCCGACAACTGAAGTGTATGATTACAGTAGAGCTGATGACGTCAGTATTCTGGATCATTTAGAAATAAGCCTTTCTTCTTTCGTAGATATACAAGACGTGAACCAGTTGTGGAATCAATTCAAAAAGATAATACGTTACTGTCTTGGTAAGTTCGTTCCAAAAAAAGTGAAACGTGTTGCAAAGCAAAACCCCTGGGTGACGAGAGAGATAATTCATCTCAAGCGTAGAATAGCACGTCAACGAAAGAAAAAGCCGCGTAATAAAACTACAATCCAAGAGATATCTCGTATTCTTAAAGATAAACTAAAATCTGCAAAGGAACGATACTTTACTGAGGTCATGCCAGAATTTATAAGAACATCACCTCGTAGGTTTTGGCGTCACCTCGCGCCGTCGAGAGATAGTGTGCAGTACGTGGCCCATGACAATCATGTCATCACTGATCCAGGTGAAATGGCGAATTCGTTTAATGATTTCTTTCAGTCAGTTTTCTTAGACAATTGTGACCTCGCCGAAAATGCTGGTGAATTTAGTCATGAGTCACACTCGAATATGCCAGAATTGCAAGTTACAGAAGAGGGTATCTTTGCGCTACTATTAGATATGGACACAAAGAAAGCAGTCGGTCCAGATGAAATACCCAATACCTTCCTAAGGCGCTACGCCGAGTGGGTCTCAAAATATCTTTTTGTTATTTTTAGTGCTAGTCTAGTAAATTGCGAAGTACCATTAGATTGGTTATCAGCGAGGGTCGTTCCAGTTTATAAATCTGGAGATAAACATTCAGTTGAAAATTATCGTCCCATTTCCCTCACGTGTGCATGTTGCAAACTACTAGAGCACATTGTTTCAAAGGAGTTGTTTAAGTTTTTAGAACATTCGAATATCTTTCTTTCGAACCAGCATGGATTTCTAAAATCCCTCTCCACTGTGACCCAGCTTACAGAAATATTGCACGACTTCGCCACGTCTATGAACAACAGAGGGCAGATCGATGCCTTATGCCTAGACCTATCGAAAGCTTTCGACCGAGTACCCCATCCTGAACTTATAAAATAAATTACTGAAACTGGGTATAAACCATAAAGTTATCCTGTGGATCAAGGCCTACCTTACAAATAGAAAACAATTTGTAGAAATAAGTAAAACAAACTCTTGTTATGTCCGCGTTCCCTCGGGCGTTCCGCAGGGATCCGTTTTGGGACCTGTTTTATTCTTGTGCTATATAAACGATATAGTGGAAAATATAGGACCCTCTATTGCGGTGCGCCTGTTTGCAGATGACTGCTTGTTGTATTCAGTTATCTCTTGCCACGATGATCAGGTCCGGCTTAATTCGGCACTGCAGACAGTAGAAAAATGGTGTAAGGAGTCAAAAATGAAAATTAACTTAACTAAAACTATACATTGTACTATAACTAACAAAAAACAAAATATTCTACCATTCGTATACAAGCTTGGAAACGAACCTTTAGTACAGGTGAACGAGTTTAAATATCTTGGCCTTACCATATCATCAAACTTAAGCTGGAAGACTCACGTTGACAATGTGTGCTCAGCTGCTAGAAAAAAACTCTGGTATCTCAAGCGCAATCTCAAGCTCGCTCCCCCTGAGACAAGACTAACTGCATATAAAGCACTAATACGGCCTACTCTAGAGTACGCTTCTATAATTTGGGATCCTTTTAGAGCCTATCAGATAAATAAACTAGAAAAAATACAAAGGATGGCAGCCAGATTTATATTGTCGAGATATCAGAGAACAGAATCAGTACAGGAAATGCTTAACTATCTCAACCTTTCAACGCTCTGTGACCGTAGAAAAATAGCACGCCTTAAATTCTTTTATATGCAACAAAATGGCCAATTTAATTTTAATACGGACCCTTACATAGTTGCTCGGCAGATCAGGCCTCTCAGAGGCAACCACTTAAATCACTACCAAATAGATACGGCAAATATTGATGCATATAAATACTCCTTTTTTCCAAGAACGATAACTGATTGGAACAGCCTACCACAAGAATTAACAACAGCAAATACACTAACCTTGTTTGAAAAAAGCATTCTGAACCTTTTTCAATGATATCTATCGAATCCTTAGTATTTCCTATTCACGTATAATCATGAGAAAATTGTGATGTTATTGTGTGATGTCTTTGCTTCGTCGCTGTTTGACGATTTATAAATTCAATGTCAAGCGCTATTTTTGTATGTTTGAATTGTTGTTGATACAGTGTCCTTGTTTCTTTTTGTATCTGGTCATATGTATTCTCGTGCCTTGTGCACCCCTGTAACAACCCTAACGGGTTAACAGTATACCTAAATAAATAAAAAAAAGCTCAAATGTATGCCGCGCTGCGTCGCGAAAACCCGGCAGCGCGCATTTTTTGAGTCCCCCCATTTCGGGAACCTTTACACGGAAGCCACGTATATTCGCTACAGCCAGTAGGTGACACCAGCTACGACCCCATAATAAAACACGGAGCTATCGCTCATCCAGCCCTCGTTAAACTTGGCTAGGTACTTGTAGGTACCTAGTAGGGAAGGGCGGTTAACTTTTAACCGCGGTTAAAGTTAACCAGCTTCGAGCAAACGGGCCCTGGTGGTGGTTAAACATTTCGACAAAACCCCGTGACTGGGACAAAAAGGGACGGACAAACACAAAGTCTCAAGACTTTGTGTTTGTCCGTCCCTTTTTGTCCCAGTCTCGGGGTTTTTGTCGAAATGTAGAAAAAAATGTAGCCCAATTTGGCTATATATAGCCCAATCTTGCAACACTGTCGGCCGTCCATCATTCGCTACCGGAAGTCCCGTCTGCTCTATTACTGTCATAAGTGCGTCCCCCCTCTTGTCTGTTCGAGCAGTTCCCCAAGCCACATTATGTGCGTTGAAGTCGCCGCATATAACCAACTCCTCTGGTTATATAAACCCCTTTCGACAACGAAAGGGGTTTATATAGGCATCAAATCCTACACAAAACACTAGAGACGAGAGAAAGAGAGAGAGAGAGAGAGAAATGGGGAAAAAGACAAGCGCCGAAAGACCAGGACAAGGTAAGAAGAAGACAACACAAGGCGCACTCGCAACTGAAGATTTATTTATGGAAAAACATAGTATTATATACACTTTTAAAAAACTCCACGTCACTTTCCACGTGCCCACTCTTTATCCAAGAATAGACACTCTTTTTCTGACAGAGTCAATGAAGGCTCGCTTATGCACGTATCTGCACCCTTCCTTATTGCATACGCCTCATGAATTTCCCTTGTAATGTTTTTGCTGTATCGCCCCAGGATTGCCACGTCATTGAAAACTGGTGTGCACTCACATCGGTTGCAATGCACAGCCAGGTGCCCCGAAGGTGACTGTTTTAAGGAAGCAGCATGCTCTCTTGCGCGATCATTCACACAACGCCCAGTTTGGCCTACGTAAGACCTACCGCAAGAAAGCGGAATGTCATACACAACACCAGTGTGACATTCTACAAACTTATTCTGGTGTTTTTTCTTACACTCGTCACTCTTCCCTTCGGGATCATTGATTTTCCTGCATAACGCAGAAAGCTTTTTAGGGGCTGAAAAAACGACAGGAACGTCGTAACGTTCCGTCACCTTTTTTAAGTTATGAGACACTGCGTGAATGTAAGGCATTACAGCGGTTCTTACTTTTTGGCGTTCAAGAACGTTTCTTTCCGCACCCCTAAATTTCTTTTTGAGGCCCTCTGCAGCTTCAACAATGGACCTCAGCGGAAACCCCGCACTTGCGAGCCGATCTACTTGTAGAAGGAAACTCTTTCCCATTTCCTCAGGACAGGATTTGTTCAGAGCGGCT